TTGAAGGGATGTACCGGAAATAGATTGAATACAAATATTATATTATTGCCTTTTTTGGCAAGTAGATTAAGGTTAACTTGAGGTTGGGAAGAAGTTATTATTATTGTTAATTTGTGTGGATTTAATGACAGATAAAGGAAGTCATTTAGTATTAGTAGTATTATTATTAGTAATAGTGTGGTATGTGCTACTTATTTCGACAGATATTAATAGTATGTGTTACCAATCGAAATTGGAATGCCTGGCGGCAGAAGATTGAGAAAATCGAAGAGAAAAGAATGAGGAAAGTGGTTTATGTAGAAACAAACGAATAACAAAGTCTGAGACGATTGATTGACATTTTGCAAATGATGTATTCACTGTATGCTTCTTAGATTTTGTCAAGATATTCTATAATGTTGAATTAATATGCATTTGATTGTCCCCCACTTGTGTTCTCGTTCATTACAGTAGTAGTATTCATAGTATAGTTCATGTTATGGTCTTCAAAAACACATAAATCTTACTATAATCTACAAAGTTATTAAAGTATGAAAAACACATAGTAGTTATTCTCTATATGATGATAAGAAGTTTTAAAAGGTCACAGTTTATTATTTTGAATACATTCATAATTTCACTGATTGAAATCATGAGTCAAGTGAAGCTAGACCACCATGGAAAACCTGGAAGCACTGGATGGCCGTTTCGTCCTACCATGGGACTTCTCAGCAGTGCGCATCCACAATCCCTCACCCCGCGAGATTCGAACACGGGACCTATCAGTTTCGCGTCAGGCGCTTAACCAACTAGATCACTGAGCCGGAATCCAACGGTGTTAATGTCTAACTTCAACTAATCCACATAGTTGCCCCACCGTATATCATTGTCTTCAGTGAGTCACTATTTCACAACAGATTTGGTTGAACTAGACTGGTCACAGCTTCTCACTAGAACTCCAGGAGTATCTCTTGAAGTCAGTCACTAGTGAGCAGGTGATTCATAATTATCACATTAATGTTAAAACGAGAATTACTGGTAAGTGACAACTGGCTCAGTTTGACTGTAACCAAAGCGATGTATAAAATAATTAATTTCGTAACATAACATATATTGATTCGAAGACAGTACTTTAGAAAAGATAAATAAATCAATCAGAGAGTGAATAAAATATAACTAAAGAATTCAAACACTGAGAGAAAAGGAATTTGTAACTCTATGTTGTTTATATTCAGAAGTGTAAATGATTAGTTTTTGTTATCATACGTTCATTCAGTGAGGATTGTTTCAACACGAGATCGTTACAAGTTTTTGTATATTTGATACATCTCTTGCTTAATTCAAACAAGTTACTGGTTATCTGAGCTCATTGGGTTGGTGGATAACGAGTGGGAGTAGTTGAAACGAGAAGTAATGTGTTCAAGTTCCGATGTAAACCTTAACACTGGGGTGCAGGTACATCTAGATGATGATTCGCAAATAGAATGAAACTAACATTCTGGATTCTACTGCTAGCCATCATCCATTTCTGCTTAAAATCTTTGTGACTTAGTGCCGATAACTAGTCGATCCTCACAGAATGCCCATATACCAAAATCAGATTGATCAAGTACAGTATTAAACATCAATTGAAAGATTCAAATAACGACTACAAATGAATTACATTTTAATTGTTGCACCAGTTTTTCTAAATTTAAGATATAACTAGTCACTTTCAATGTGAGTTTAATAGTAGGTGGATCAATAAACTTTCACTGATGCTCGAACATATGATCTGCATATGAAACTGTAATTGCATACTGCCAAATATTACTAAAGTTATAAGTTATATAATATACCCTTGTGGGCCAGGGTAATTTTACATCGGTTTTCAGGAGAACCAGATACCATCTGGACTTTCACGTGACAACCAAACAGAACAACTCAACCCCGTTTAACAGGAGAACCAGACACCGTATAGGCTTTAACGCTACAATCTGTATAGTACAGCTCAATCCTGTGGCGCAACCACACAGGTACCAAGCACCCTGGTGGACTAGAACATTACTAAAACGGGATGAAAATATTCGTTCAGTATTCCTTGATTTTCTATAGTTCTACAGCCGGTATCATCTTTTTGTTTTTGATGAAATCTATCTAATATTTATGCATATATGTTCAAAAGAAGATCGTATCGTGATAACAGTTAAAACAATGACATATAGATATGATTCAACGTTTCATTTAGTCGAATCATTATTTCCATACGATTTAAAGTTTACAAATTACGAGTAGAGTTAATGGTTTCATATGTAAGTGTTATTCTTCACGGATTGGCATCATTTGTGGTACCACTAAAAATTAGAAAACAATAAAGAGCTGTTTTATCTTAGCGCGAGACTTCTCAACAGTACTACAAATCAAACTCATGACCTGCATGTATCCTAATGAGTGTTTAATCAATAAACTAATGGGTTGAAATTTAATGGTACCCAGCTTCAACTCAGTAGTTTACACGTAAGACTTTCACCTTGAGATGTGAATGGGGAGTTTCGGATTTACAGTGGGATCTTTAGTTCCAATTTTAGATGAATTAGCTACCTAATGTAAACAGGATTTTAGTGTTATCATAACTATGGTCAGTGCTTGATGAGTATAATCTTCATATTAGATGAATGTCCATAAAGTCACAACATCAATGGGTGAAGGACAGGAGGAACGATTTATGGATTTTTTGAGGATTAAGGTTCTCGATATTTCAAATAAAAAAACTAACTGGGGAATTATAAGTGAAGATGAATGGTGGCTAACAGTGGAATCTATGATACGCGTTTCGACCTATTTGGGACTCATCAGATGGATAAACCTGAATTTCAGAGATTCAGGTTCACTCTAGACTCGAACTTAGTAACGTTCGCTTCAAACGCCAACACGTTATCTACTTAGCTACTGAGTTCTACTGGCCACTAGCCTGTGCAATGGGGTGAAGTTTAAATTCATTTTGAATTGTTTGTTTGAATCTTCATGGATTCCATTCCTAACCACCATCTATATTTGCTCAGAATGTTTGTGACTTAAAGCAATGTCGAGGCGATCCGCACAATATGTACCTATACCAATAAGAGACTGTTCAATTGCAATCCTAAACATCAATGGAAAGATTCAAGTAAACAATACCAAGTGAATTTAATTAGAGAATTATTCGACGACAAGCTAAAAATATTCTTTCACTCCACTATTAACCGTCAATCTTAAATCCTAATGCTAAAATATTTTTTTTTGGGGGGGGTTCTATGTAACAAACTATTCATTTTTACTATATATATTCTGACAATTGGCTTTACTTCCTCATGGTGATTTTAGAAATCACTGAAGATTTACAGCATCCTATGTTCACTTTATAAGTTACTTCATGTCAACAATGATTTACTTTTAACAGTATTAGATGTTAACAATTAGTTTAGTTTACGGAAATCATTGTCATGTTTAATATACAGAAAGATAATTGATAATCTATTCTGTCATAAAAAAGAAAATGAGAACACATTGTTATTGTGATTTGTAAACTTCATATTAGACGTTTACTTTGTATTGACAACAGAATAAGATGACAACAATGAAAGATTTTAAGTTTTAATTAGTCTTTAGATAGTTATATCTGCCTGTCATAAATACATTGAATACGTTTTTGTGTGTTTTTTTGATTAGATTTCCGATATTGGGACTTGGTAGCTAAGTGAATAATGTAATTGCATTTAAAGCGAACGGTACTAAGTTTGAGTCTTAGAGTAAACATTAACTCTGTGGTACAGGTAAATCTGGCTGACGAGTCCACAAAAAGAAGACGAAACGCGCATCCTGAATTCCACTGCTAGTCACTATCCGTCTTTGTTTATAATTATTTTCGATATTTGTTGGGGAAACATTTTCCCTACTTATTATTTTATAAATATAATGGATTTTAATAAAATGAATGTTGAATTGAAATTTCAACCGCTGAAGCCTAGGGTATATATCACTAAGCCAGGGTACATGCAATCCAGCATGAAGCCAGGTGCATGCTTCATTATATATTTTTGGGTCACCTACGGAAACCTTGTTACGACTTTTGCTTCCTCTAAATAGTGAAATGAGGTTATCTTCTCAGCATCACTCGAGTGGCAAAGCCACTACAACGATATCAATCCAATGACCTCACTAAATCATTCAATCGGTAGTGGCCGTTCTTAGTTGGTGGAGCGATTTGTCTGGCTAATTTCGATAACGAACGAGACTTAAACCTCCTAAATAGTAGACTGATCCTCTGTGCTCGTTTAGGGCGTGGCTTCCATAGCTTCTTTATGAAGTAGTATGATCGTGGCCCGGAAGGTGCGGTGCCAGTTTTTACAATGACGGTACCAGCGAGTCTGTAAACCTGGACCGAAAGGGTTGGTTAACTGTTTCATCACAGTCGTGATTGAGATCGGGATTTACAATTATTCCCCATGAACAAGGAATTCCTAGTAAATGTAAGTCATTAGCTTGCACTGATTACTTCTCTATCCTTTGGTACACATGGTCGAATGAACATCATAGTTACTTGGTAAAATAGAAAAACCATACTATAATACTTAATTTGCAAAATGTTCAGTATTTGTCTCGAACTTCATTGTTCTTGCATTTCCATACTAATTGCTTTCTATTCCCGCTCTTCCTTTCTTGATCTTCCCCATCTTCTGCTGCCAGAAATTACATTCCTGACTTGCGTCATATACTACTTATACCAATATAAGTAGCACGCACCACACTATAAGCTTACAGGTAACGTTAATAAATAAAAAAATATTCATATAGTTAACTAGTATAACTTAAAATGAATTAAAACAGTTGAATTCATGAGTCAATCTAAGCTAGATCACCATTCAAAACCTGGAAACACTGAATAGTTGGTTAATCCTAGTGTAGGACTCCTCGGAAGTGCACATTCACGATCCTGAATGTAGGACTCGAACTCAAGACACGATATATTAAATAACACTTTATATATTTACTGTAATTTTCAGATATTCAAATGAATTTGGTAATACAACAAGACGAAGAAATGCTACAAAAGAAAGTACAACAACATTAAAAGCTTGGTTACAAGAACATATTAAAAATCCTTATCCAACTAAAGGTGAAAAAATTATGTTAGCTATTATAACAAAAATGACATTAACACAAGTTTCTACATGGTTTGCAAATGCAAGAAGACGTTTAAAAAAAGAAAATAAAATGACATGGACACCAAAACATAGAAATGAAGAACAAAATGATGATAACGATGATGATGACGATAATGATGATGATAACGATGATGATGATAATGATAATGATGATAATGATGAAGAGGTGAACAATAGAAACAACAGTGTAGGTAATAATAAAGGACAACATAATGAAAGATCTAAATTAACAAATAATGAAAGTATTTATGATGATCATGATATTGATGAAGATGATGAAATAACTGGATTTGATAATGATGATGATGATGACGACGATGAGGATATATCATTAAATCAATCAAGAAATCAGTCTATATTAAAAGATTCTCTAAATCATAATGATTATCAAAATTATTTATTAAATCAAAATGGGAAAATTAATAAATTCCCAGTAAAATCTTCTTATAATAAAAGTCAATTCCATATAAATAATGAATTAATCTATAAAAAGAAACATGAACAGTTGAATAATTCAATATTCAATCCACCACCATCTTCATCATCATCATCATCTTCTTCTTCTGAACAACATTCATGAATCAAATTCAACCAAATATGAATGTATCCTTTGATGTATTCATGAATGATCAATATGATAAAATGAATTGTACATTGAATTCATTGAATTCATTCCATAAACATCATGATGTACTGCAACACCATCACCACCAACCACCACCACCACCACAACAACAACAACAGCACAATCATGAATATAATAAATTACAATTACCAACATCGTCATCATCATCATCATTATCACAATTGAATTATTCTATTGAAAATCATTTGAATGAATTTCGTAATAAAATTGATAAGAATAATTCTATTGGATTGTATTCAACTGAAACGAAATTAGTCAATTTATCTGAATCTAATATACCAAGTAAGTTTAGTGAAAATCTTTTTATTACATTGAATAATTTTGTGGATTGATAAGGTTAGACATTAACATTATTGATTGCTGGCTGGTTCAATGGTCTAGAGGTTAAGTGTTCACTTGTAAAACTGAAGGCTCTGAGTTTGAATCCCTCGAGTCCCATATTAAAACGAAACGGCCATCTAGTGTTTCTAGGTTTTCCAATGGTAATCTAGCATCAATTGGTTCATGATTTCAATCAGAATAGTTACCTGTTGAAATTAAATGCTATAGGGATTAAATTATTCATTATCAGATTGTGGTGGCGAGACTCTAATTTATCGAAGAGCCAATCAGAAGCGTCTTCGAGACTTCAAGGTTACGGCGCCAACTTCGGTGCTTAATGCTAACGTACGATAGGTTCACAGGAAATTTTGTACAAAACGTGATAATTGAGCGGCTATAACAAGCAGAACGGCGAGACTATAACTTGTGGACGAATCAATCGGGCATAAGATAATAGATCTCGAATTTCGACGCGAAAGCCTTTCATCCATTTGGCTACATAAATTTCTGGCATTAAAGGTGATGTCCGTTCGTGATGAAAAACCCATATATAATTCCTAACTAAGGCAAAGTACGACAATTATTGTGAACTGGATGATAAAAGCACCAGTAACCTTGGCTGCAGCCAGGTACTACAATATATACGGATGTTTGGAAAGCGTACAGACTCCCACATAGGCTTGGTTATGTGCATCGTGTCGTTATCCACAAGTAGCATTTTGTGCACTCAACAACCGGAGTGCACATAAACAACATTGAAGCTATGTGGTTGAGGCTGAAAGAATTTTCGAGATTTTATCATGGCTCCAGAGGCCGACTATTCTGTAGCCGTACGGATGATTTCCTCTACTGCATGCATTACGATTTTAGAACCTCTGAACTTCTTTCTAACCTTGACAAGTTTTTGAACCACGTATAAGAAGTGTATCCACTTTATTTCCTTGGTTTTGTATAACATATTTTGACTCTATACTGACTGTTTGCTGATTGGCTTATATTTCTCAAGGTTACGTAAGATTCGTTCAAAGGTCGTCCATAAATTAGAGTCTTGCGTAGAAGATTAAGAGCATCGAAGAAAAGAGAACAAGACTAGGGAATGTTTGGTGTGGAAACAAAAAAAAACAATAAAGTCTAAGACAATTGATGGATATTTTGCAAATGAAGTATTTATTGTATGGTTCTTAGATTTTACTAAGAAATTCTGTAATTTTGTGTTCAAATACTTTTGGTTATCCTATTGGTGTTCTTATTCACTTCAAGATGATATTACATGAATGTCATGATGTATTTAAAAATAATTAACTGAGGTTGGAAAATATGAACTCTTGAATGTAAACTTAGTATTCTATTGTCTAAAAACTTGGCACATTACTTGAAATTTCTGAATCCGAACACTGTTGGCGGTTTAGATACTTAACACTATAAATTTTCATACTAAAACAAAACACTAGTCCAATGTTCCCTATTTCTCCATAAGGCCTCTACGGATATTCATTTTGAGAAATATCATCCAAATTTAAGTCATTAACAATTAGAAATATGTATTTGAAAGTAATATTCATAACAAACTGATGTCAAGTGAATAATCGTTAAAGTTCAGGCAACACCGAATAGATAATTGTTTTAGTTTAGGACTGTCGAGCAACGTGTACCCATTATTGCATTAAATATTGAAGTCAGGAGATTCGGCTTTCAAGGAAGACTACTATTGTGACATAATCCAGTCGTTTACATTTACAGTTCTAGTCAGTTTGTGAAGTAACAGAAGACAAAACCTTTGTGAATATGGAAATAAAAAGAATTTTAAATCCAACTTGTAAAATCTTCATATGCCAATTAACGAAAATCATTTCAATGGTTGAATTCATGAGTCAATTGAAGCTAGAACATCATAGAAACGTGGAAGCACTGGACGCTCGTTTCGTTTTAGTACGGAAATCTTCAACAGTGCGCATCCATTATCCCGCCTTGCGAGATTCGAACCCAGGACCCATCAGTCTTGCGCTCGAACGCTAACCTCTAAATCATTAAGCTGGCATCCAACCGTGGTAATGTCTAACTTCAATTAATCCACGAAAATCATTTTACTGAACTCAACAAACTTAGGTTAATACAATGATCATAGGAAAAAATTTCATCCAATATACAACTAATTATCAATTTTCCATTGATAATTTTTGATAGATTAATTGACATTTTTAACTGTCTTTGTACAAGGAAAATTTAGACAAATACTGTTCCTTATTTTTAACCATAAACTGATTTTAGTTAAACATCTAATAAAAACCTAAAGGCATGGGATCAATATTCGGTCCTCGTATGGAACTCTACTACTACATTTTTATTTAAGAATAATTTCTTATTATTTAAATCACGTACCTGAATCTAGAATATTCTATGATGGAAATGACTTACTTACTTATTTACGCCTGTTACTTTTCGTGAAGGAGTATAGGCCACTAACCAGCATTCTCCATCCAACACTGTCCCAAACAATCCTTCCTGCCCCTTAAGTTTTATTCATCCTTTTCATATCTGCTCCTATTTCCCGACATAATGTGTTCCTTGGCCTTCCCGTTTTCCGCTTCCCTTTAGGATTCCAAGTTAGGACTTGTCTCGTGATGCACTTTGATGACTTGCGTAATGTATGTTCTATCCATTTCCATCGTCTTTTCCTAATTCCCTCTTCAGCTGGAAGCTGGTTTGTTTTCTCCCAGAGAATACTGTTGCTGATGGTATCCGGTCAATGGATGTTGAGTATCTTGCGTAGAAAACCATTTATAAATACTTGTACCTTCTTAATGGTGGTTGTAGTAGTTCTCCAAGTTTCAGCTCTGTACAGTAGAACTGCCTTGACGTTGGTATTGAAGATTGTGACTTTGATATTGACTGACAGACTGCTGTTTTGAGTTTCAGATATTCTTTAATTGTAGGAATGCTGTCCTTGTTTTGCCAATTCTCGCCTTTACGTCCTCATCTGATCCTCCTCCAGTAGCTCTTCCAGAGTTACTGTCGATCCCAAGCCCGAGTAAAGGAGGAGGGTTGGGTATGGGTTTAGCGACCCCATCTCATAGAAAACTAACTCTCTAAAAAAACGCTAACCAGAAAAAAATAATGCAAGTGAATTTCTATAAAAAAAAGACACATAATGAGTAGAGTATAAGTAATATATGTTGATTTTCTTTTTCACAGATTGGACAGATATGATACCAACATCATTATCTATGAATAAATATGATTCAATACCATTTGGACAACAATCATATCAGAATATTTCATTTCCATATTATATACAAGAAAATTTACATGTTTCACCTTATATTCATGGATTTGATACATCAAATAAAGTATATTCATCATTTAATCCAATATCATCAACTACCAATTTTATAAATTCCAATAAAACAAATATAAAATCGAATCATTTATCAGAAGATATTTCATTGTTATCATCCTCCTCATCATCATCAACATTATCATCTTCATCACCATCAACATGTTCACCATTATCATCATCTTTAATCACTTCAACAAATACAACATCAACAATAACAACTACAATCAATTCAATGTATACAAATTTTCCAAATACAATGCATTTATTAACGTCTAAATCATTTCCCCTTAACAACAACAACAATCATAGTAATAATTCACAATTAATGAATCATATCAATACTGTTAACAATCATGATAGATTATCATTTACTAATCTATTCAATCATAAAGAATTATTTTCATCTAGAATGAATTGTAATAATGATAATTATGAACAAATTACATCATCTAATTTATTAACTTCAAATGATTTATTAACAGGTACATTAAATAAAATTAATCATTTTCATTATGGAACTAATATTGACTCAATTACAGATAATAATAATAATAATAATAATCAACAAAGATTACCATTTATTTCAGAGGTCAATAATCACAATAGTACAACATCGATCACCGTAGCATCTACTATGACATTGTCAACAATCAATTCATTATGGTCATCACAATTAAAACAGTTAACACGTTTAGACGAAAGTCGATTAGATATGAGTTCAGATCAGATAGTAAGTAGTAGTGGTGGTGGCAGTGTTATTCCATTTCAACAGTTCATTAATTCTTCATTATCAATACCATTTACTACAACTGATAATAATAATAATAATACTACAATTAATAATTGTTTCAATAATATTTCATCCAAATTACAACCGAATGAAACTATTACTACCACTACTACCACCACCACCACTGTTACTACTACTACTACTACCACTACTGATAATCAGATTAGTAATACTTCAAGTCTACATTTTACTCAAGATGATATACAAACATTATCATCTACACTATGGTCAAATGAACGATTAAATAATAATACTTATAATACAGAATTAAATCATAATGCATTTTATCAACCAATCTATAACTCAATGCATACTATGCCTACAAGATAAATATTAATAAAGAGTATAACTTATTAATACCTCTATTAATATCCACTCATTACTACTACCACTACCACTACTACTACTACTACTACTACTAACTACTACTACCACCACTACTACTACTACTGCCACCACTACTACTACTACCACCACCACCACTACTACTACTACTAATAGTAGTAATAACAATAATAACAATCGTGATATAACCATAGTACCATGTAGACAAAAACAAAACAAAAAAGCATGACACACTAATCAATAAATTGTCAATTTTCCTACTAAGTAACAATTGTAACTGCACATTGTACTGTTATTTTTTTTCTTTCAGTTCTCTTATTTTCTTTTTCTCCTTTATTTCTTCTTCTTCTTCTTTCAAATGTATCTTTATTTTATTCCATTTTTTATTTGTTTAGTTTCATTGAGTCTGTCGTTTGTTTGTTTTGTTTTTTTCAACACCTTAAAATGTAATCAATCAATAACCAATAAAGTTTATTTAATCAATAAAAATGAATATTGATTATTATTATTATTATTACTATGATAATTTATTTCTTGTACATAAAGTATTTTAACAATGGTCATCAGAAATGAAATAATAAAATAATTTCCAGATAAAATGATTGATTTTCTGATTTGTGTTTTAGATTGAAAGTAAAAAGAGAGGAATCATTTGTTGATGATTTGATAGGTTTTGGATTCGAATCTCATGAGATAGGATCGTGGATATTCACTGCTGAGAAGTGCCATAATAGGATGAAACAACCATTCAGTGCTTCCAGGTTTTTCATGATGGTCGAGGTTCGACTATCGAAATTACTATAATATCCACAAAACTGTGATAGGATATCGTTGAATAGGTTCAATATAAATGTTGTATTACTTATTTACTAACTTACGCCTATTACACTTTGTCGAGGAGCATAGATTGCTAACCAGCATTCTCCATCTAACTCAGTCCTTGACAATCCTTTCCGATTGTTTCCAGTTTTTAGTCGTCCTTTTCATATCTGCTTCCAGTTGTCGATGTAGTGTGCTCTTTGGCCTTCCACTTTTCTGTTTTCTGTCAGGATTTCAAGTTAGCACTTGCTTCACGATGCAGTTTGATGATTTCCGTAATGTATATATTGTCTACTTCCAACGTAATCTGTGAATATTTTAATGGATATTAGGCATTTATATTGGTTTGTTTGCTGAAAACACTTAGTTAAGTAATATGTATTTATCCCAGTTCACTCCATGTAAGGAGCTTCTCCTCTAGATAATCAGTTTCGTATCATTGATTCATCTGTGTCCACGATTAAATATATTGTCCCTTCTACCGTAGTCATCTTCTTCTGTGGTTCTTTTGAGTATAAAATTAAAAAAATCATGATGTTATCACTGTTCGATTCCACTGTATTAATAAGTCTTAACAACAAAAATGTATTTCCAGAATGGGTTTTGTGGAGAATTTTAGAATTTTCACAGTTTTTTGAAATCATGAGTCAGTTGAAGCTAGACCACCATTGAAAACCTGGAAGCACTGGACGGCCGTTTCGTCCTGGTATGGGACTCCTCAGCAGTGCGCATCCACGATCCCGCACCACGCGGGGCTCGAACCCAGGACCTACTGGCTTTGTATTTATGTATTTATGATATCATTTATGCCCTCTGTAAGACTCACATTTATACTGTCTCAAATCATGATTATGAACTAGTATGTCTTATATACAGTTAATTTTTGACAACAATGAATTATGTTAGGATATTGATGATTATAGTACAGCCTAAATGGTCAGTATTTTAGTGACCCATTGTATTTATGAGTAAATATTAATTGGAAGAACTTTCAGAATTCCTATAGATGTCAGGTTTGATGTTGATGGACATAAAAATTAATTTAGTGAATTCTCTTAATTAACACATAAAGAAACACTTCAAACAGGCTGAATTTTCAAAGGATTTACTGGTTTTTGACTTCATAGATAATCTTGAATAATAGTTACTATGGCGGAATGTGATTAAAATTGATTATAAATTCATGGAATGAGTTGTAACTGACTTGAATTCCCCTTCAGATAATCATAGGGAGTATTGCTTAGAACATGTGTCTGACTTATGTACACTCTATAAGACCAATAAAAATTTACTTCTAAAGGGTAAATAAAATTGATCAATCCATAATGAAGTTATTTAAAGCACCAGTTCACCTTTTACACTTTCTCAAATGAGGTACTTACTAAAGAAAATATTTCAGTCTTTTGAATAGAAGGTCTTTCTCAGATAACTTGATCTTTTTATACTTCAATATTTCTGCTATAATTATCTCTTTTAAACTCAATGTTCATGAGTAAAATTTCATTCGGAATTGTGTGTTGATGGGAGGGGGAGGGTACACTGTATTTTATAAAAGAGATATTAACCGAACATTAGCGTATAATTAAGAATGAAATTATTATTAAAATATGAATTTTAAACCGAAAGAATAAAACTGATGATGAAAACAAGTTTTTATTGACTGAGAATTTTATCAACAGGGGAGGTACTATATAATCTTAGAATGCTGAGAGTTTTCATTATGGAATTATCGATTGGAACTGAGTATCTACTTTTAAACACCAAGACTTAATATTAAGAACAATCATCGAACCTTTTTCAACTAATTAACATTTATTGCTCAACTTTTATCCATTGTCTACAGTGAATAACTGTCTCATACCCGACGTAGTTGAACTTTACCGGTCATAGCTTCTCACTAGAGCCCTCACAAGTTGAGTCTTGAGGTTGGTCACTAGTGAGAACATGATTATTATTAACAAAGAAAGGTTTGTAGAGATTGTGGAATTTTCAAGGTTTAAATTATTAACTAGCACTGAAAAGCTGGAAACAATCGACAAGGGTTGAATAATATCAAGAATTTATTGAAAATAGACATGTACAATATTAGATGCTGGATCCATGGTTAGAGATTAAGCGTTTGATAAGGAGAGTGAAGGTCTTCGGCCTGATTTCTCATGGCGGAGTCCTGGATATGAACTTCTAAAGAATCGCACACTAAGATGAAGTAGTCACCTAATGCCTCTTGGTTTTAACTGATGGTATAGCTAAAATCAGTTCATGACTTAACCTATAAAAATTATACAACCTCCACAAATCAGTCTAGTGATAATGTACCAAACACATAGTCAAACACGCATTGTAGACTGATATAAATGTATGTTATTTTTAAGAATGTGGATATAAATTCAAATATATTTTTTATTAACCATGTATATAACATTACCGACTAGTTATGGATATGATTCAAAAGATTGACATTCACTCCAAGATGATTAAAAGAACTTGTAGTTGTATATGTGGTAGTATTAAGTAAGAATGATGAATTTCAGTTTTGATTTAATTAAAGCATAACTTCCTGACTGACAGTATTTTATGTATATCCAAAGCTGGTTCAATAATAATTTGTTCTCACCAAAGTAGTACAGATGACTGACTGATAAGAGATTTTTCGACCAAACTAACTTATAAACAAGTTGTTCTATGATAGTAACATCTTGTATTGTGAAGCTAGATGACAAAAGTTTGAATCCTCTAGAGAGCAGCCGTTCCGTATTTATTAAACGTGTACCCCACTAATGAGTGACAAATAACATGAAACTTAGGTCCGAAGTTTCCTATCTACCACATCTGACAACTACCTTACATTTCAACATAAGTCACGCTATTTGAAGTCATTTGGACTGGTCGGTACATTAAAACATGATTGATAGAATTCGATCAACATTAACTGACTAAACAAATGACACTGAATCCTGTATACTGGTCAGTTAATTATAGATAACCTTTATTTAACTGAACTTCACACTATGAAGAGAGTTTCAACTTCAGTCATTTTATCTGGAAAATCAATAAAGTGAATAGATAATAATCAATAACTTGAATTCCTCTAGAAAGACTCAAACAAAATTATTCGAACATGAATAAGATTTCGACTTGGCATTAAACAACAAGAATGAGTCTTAGTTACGTGTATGAGAAAAGTATATAGTTCTGAGTTTTACTCACATCTTTGTACATTATAATCGTTTATTTAAAGTTAGTTACAAAATGTCTATAATTTGAACACTCGAATATTCTTGCACAACTCTGAGAAGTCAAACTAATTTTTCTCAGTATAGGCTTGTAAAGATTATTAAGTTTTTGATTGAGATCGTGAATCGATTGGTGTTAGACCACCATTGAAAACCTGAAAGCACTGGACGGCCGTTTCATCCTAATGTGTGACTCCTCAGTAGCCGGTTCAGTGGTCTAGTGGTCAAGCGATTGCGTGATAGGTGTTGGGTTCAAATCCCGCAAGCGGGGTCGTGTATGTGCACTGCTGAGAAGTCCCATACTAGGACAAAACGGCCGTCCAGTGCTTCCAGGTTTTTAATGGTGGTCAAACATCAATCGGTTCATGATCTCTATCGGTTTTTTCCTCTCAGAAAATGAGAGATAAATGTTTCATTTACAAAACTGTAAATGAGGTCTTTCTACTGCTCTCGTTCATATACTTCTTCCCTTTACTTATTCACATTGTCTAACTGGGATGCAATGTTGACAAACTAAATGAAGACAGTAAATCGTGACATATGACGAAGAAATATATAACCGATTAACGAATAGTTTTTTAGAATTCTCAAATAATATTGATTACTCGCTAAACAGGTTAATGACTATCTAAACTCAGTAATTCACATTTGGGCGATTAAAGTGAAAAGTACTGAGCTTGAGTTTCAATATGAATATCAATAATGCAATGTAGGTACTTAAGTTGATAAGTTTGGAACTGGAAAAAACCAACTTTCAGATTCCACAGTTACCCAGATACAAATATACTGAAACATCACTTTATAATGAAACCTATTCGTAAATCATCTTCAGGAAAAAACAACCAGACATAGAAATGTTCAAATGGACAAATAAGAATGTAGAATAACTTATCGGATATGTATTTTATTGAATCGTCTTTTTGTATAAAGTACTTTATTCATTACAAAATTATACAATATAGAAATAATGATTGATTGTTTCTTATATGTAATTTTAATAATTGAATTCATGAGCCGATCTAA